ACTTCCTTCTTCATTTCTGCCTGAGTTTTCTTCAGTGTTTCTCTTGTGAATTCATTCAGAAGTTTACCCCTATCTTCTTTTAGCTCTTTGTTCATGTTTTCTTTAAATTCATTGAATTCCTTGATCATGTTTATGATTGTTCTTTCAAATTCAGTGTCCTGGGTTATCTCTAGGGGGTTCTCCTTGTAGAACTCTTCTACAGGATTGGTGGGGTTTGGTGGAGACCTGGTGTTTTGGCTTTCCATTTTATTATTCTTTTGTTGTGGTTTTGGCATGTGAATTTCTTTTGTTGTTTATGATTCTGATATGGGAATGAAGTTGAAGTACGCTTCGCTTCTGTTTGTATTATCAGGGTGCCTAGATCCTTTCTTTATTGGTTATATAAAGCTGGTTGGTACAGGGTTCAGGTTCTCTCAGGTTAATTTGGAGGGAACTGATGGCTTCAGATCAGCTATTCAGGAGTACCCACAGAAGCCCAATTCAGGTTCCAGTCAAGCACACTCAGGCTTCCTTCACCATGTGGACACAGGATCCAGGCTCCCTCAGCAGTCCCCTGCATTGTCAACCCTATGCCAGAGGGAGGCCAGAGGGGGGCCAGAACCTGGCACTCTCTGGCGGTCTCCTGAGATCCGAGCTGCTACACTGATTGAGCTCTGAACCCACGCTCATAAAATAAAATCTTTTAGAAAAAGACATCATTAAGAAGATAAAAAAGGTGAGCCACTGGCTGACAGGAAATATTTGTAAGCCACATTATATGATTAAGGATATATAATATAGACTACATGATGAACTTTAAAAATCTTTTTTTTGAATTTTTATTTTGTGTGTTATAAGTGTTTTGCCTGCACATATGGAAGTGTACCATATGCATGCAATGCCTGCAGAGACCAGAAGGTGTCAGATCTCCTGAAACTGGAATTAGACAGTTGTTAGCTCTCATGTGGGTGCTGGAACCTGAAGCCCGCAGGTCCTCTGCAAGAGCAGCTAGTACTCTTAACTGCTGAGTCATCTCTCATCTTCAGCCCCACGTGAGGAACTCTTAAAACATAATATGATGCCAGGCGTGGTGGCACACGCCTTTAATCCCCGCACTCGGAAGGCAGAGGCAGGGGGATCCCTGTGAGTTCAAGGCCAGCCTGGTCTACATAGTGAGTTCCAGGACAGCTGGGGCTACAGGGAGACCCTGTCTCAAAAAGACCAAAAAAAAAAAAAAACAAACAAAAAACCCCCAAACTCAAAAACTATAATATGACCAACAACCAAAACATTTGGAAAGTCATTGTCCATACTGTATGCCTAGATCTACAGCCCTAGCATTTGGGGGGTTGAGGTAGGAAGTTCTTCAGTTCAAGACCAGCCTGGACTATAAAGCAAATTTCAGGCCAATGAGGGCCTATCTCAAAAAAGTTTTTTTTTAAAAGAGTTAAGAAAATGGAGAAGGCCATGTGTGGTGGCACATGCCTTTAGTCTCAGTACTCAGGAGGCAGAGGCAGGTAGATCTCTGTGAGTTCAAGGCCAGCCTGGTCTAAATAGTGAGTTCCAGGCCAGCTGGGGCTAAAAGACCAAAAAAAAAAAAAAAAGAAAAAAGAAAAGAAAAGAAAGTAGAGAAACTAGAACTCTTTAAAAAATTTTATTTTATTTCATGTGTATGAGTATATTGCCTGCATGTGTGTAAGTGTACCCATGTTGTGTAATGCCTGTTGAGTCAGAAGAGGGCAGTGAATTCCCCTGAAACTGGAGCTATGGATGGTTGTTAGCCACCATGTGGGTGTTGGGAATCAAACCTGGGTCCTCTGCAAGAGCAGCTGATGCTCTTAACCACTGAGCCCTCTCTCCAGCCCCCAAACTGGAATGCTTGTAGAATGTGAATGGTACTATAAAATGATTCCAATACTCAAAAACAGTTCTCTGAGCTGGGCGTGGTAGTGCATTCCTTTAATCCCAGCACTAGGTAGGTGGAGGCAGATGAATCTCTGTGAGTTTGGTCTACATAGCGAGTTCCAGGCCAGTTGGGACTATAGGGAGACCCTGTCTCAAAAAAACCACCACCACCAACAACAAAAACTTAGTTCTCCAGTTTCTTAAAATGTTAAGCATAAACTTGTGACATAACTCAACAATTTATGTTCCTCTACAGAGACCTATGTACACATGCTTATACAAATACTGTTTACAATAGTCAAAAAAGAGGGGAAGCAGGCATAGTGGTTCATGCCTTTAATACCAGCACTTGGGAGGCAGAGGCAGGTGGATCTTTGTGAGTTCAAGGCCAGCCTGGTCTACATAGTTCCAGGACAGCTGGGACTACAGGGAGACCCTGTCTCAAAAGACAAAAAAAAAAAAAAAAAAAAAAAAAAAAAAAAAAAAGCACTGCTCTTCCGGAAGTCTTGCATTCAGTTCCCAGCACCCACATGATGGCTAACACCCATCCTTAACTCCAGCTCCAGAGAACGTGACACCCTCTTCTGACCTCCATGAGCACCAGGCACACAAGTGGTGCACTTAGGTACAGGCAGGCAAAGCACTCATACACATAAATAAAATGTAAAAAACAAAACAAAACAAAACAAAAACCCCGAACACCCCCACTGGTGAATGAAAGGAGTCAGCAACAAAAGTCCACACACCATCTGATAGACATCATTTATCCAGAAGTCCAGGAGAGGTGAACCGTAGAGGGAGCAAGCACATGGAGGGTTACTTAGGGGCAGCAGGAATAAATTGGAAATGGGTTTGAGGGAAACTTTTGGCATGATGCGTGTTTCAAATATTGACTGTAGTTTTGGTTGTACAATTCTATAAATTCAGTGACTAGATTATATACTAATGGGATGAATTTCATGTAACTTAGACCTCAGAGAAACTGTGTAATAAAGGAAAGCAAAGTAGATGTTCAGAGCAGACAGACTAGAAGCAGCCCTCTCTCCGCTCACCCACACAGGGTGTTTGTGCTTGTGCTGGTGTTGGTTTCCATCCTCTGGATCCCCGTGGTTCAGGCCAGCCAGGGAGGCCAACTCTTCATCTACATCCAGTCCATCAGCTCCTACCTGCAGCCTCCTGTGGCTGTGGTATTCATCATGGGCTGTTTCTGGAAGCGGACCAATGAAAAGGTCAGTCTGGATTGGCCATTGCCACACAAGACCCAAGCACTGCCCATGAGCACTGGGACAGGTCTGGAGGGAGCCCTGTGTGGGCTGGACTTGGGTTACCAGGAAGACATCCAGGGAGGGTGTCACCTGGCCTTTCAAAGATGCAATTGGGGGGGGTGTCTTAGAAGTGTCTTCATACATTTGCTTTTTTGTTTGTTTGTTTTGAGATAGGGTGGGTCTCCCCTATAGTCCCAGCCTGCCTGAAACTGAGTATGTAGACCAGGCTGGCCTTGAACTCACAGAGATCTGGGTGCCTCTGCCTCCCGAGCGCTGGGATTAAAGGCATGTGCCACCGCACCCAGCATACATTTGTTTTTTGATTCAGGGTCTCAGCAGCTAGTGTCCTAGTTTTGTTTCTGTTGCTATGATCCAATACCATGGCAAGAAGAAACAGGGAAAAGGTCTTATCTTAGATTACAGTTCCAGGTTATAGTCAGGCACTGTGGGGAAGTCATGGAGCAGGAGCCTGAGACAGCTGGTCAGACCACATCCAGTCAAGATCAGAGAAGTGAATGCATGTGTGCTCAGAACTCAGCTTTCTCTACTCTTATGCTGTCCAGAGTCCCAAACCAGGGGACAGTGCTGCCTACATTCAGGCCGAGCCTTTCTACATCAATTAAAGAAATCAAGACAATCCTCCAAGAGACAAGCCTACATGTAGGCCAACCTGATCTAGACAGTCCCCCACTGAGACTCTTTTCCTAGGTGATTCTAAATTGTGTCAAGAAGTCAAAACTGACCATCACACTCAAGTTGGCCTCAGACTGGCAATCTTCCTGCCTCATCTCCTGAAGGCTGGGGTTACAGGTGTACACCACCATACTTGGCTTCTTGACATATTTTTGTCATTCACAGGAAAGCCAAATTAGAAGGGAATGTATACATTGCATGGGATCATTCCATTATCATTAGACATCTGCATCTGTATGTTTTGCCTTGGCAGAGTCAAGCGACAAATATTTGGAGAAAATCTGTGTCTACTGAGCATGTGTAGATTGTTTTCCTGTTATTATTCCCTAAATAATATAATGTAACAACTATTTATATAACATTCATATTGCACTAGGTATTATAAGTAATCTAAACATGATTTAAAGTATATAAGAGGCTATTCATAGGTTACATGCAAACACCATACCATTTTATACTTGAGCATCTGTGGACGTGGTATCTATTGCAGGTCTTGGGACCAATCCTTTCAGATACCAAAGGCTGACTGTATTTGTAGAAGATGAACAAGTAGCTCCAAACCTTTGCAAATCACAGATAGTGACCAGAGCAGGAAAGACAAGATGAGATGGGTTCTTGAGGTGTCCCTAAGATGGCTCTGCTCCGGTTTGCAGGGTGCCTTCTCAGGCCTGATCTTGGGCCTGCTGCTAGGTTTGGTCAGGCTGGTCCTCGACTTTATCTATGTACAACCTCGGTGTGACCAGCCTGATGAGCGTCCAGCTGTGGTGAAGGACGTCCACTACCTCTACTTCTCCATGATTCTGTCATCTGCTACCCTCATCACCGTGTTCAGTGTGAGCTGGTTCACAGAGACACCCTCCAACGAGATGGTATGTTTGGGTTGACAGTCAGAGCCTGAGACTCTTCATTGCAAGTGACAGAATAGGGACTCACAGGCTTCAGCAAGATGACTGAAGACTCAAAAGTCCAGGGTGAGGCTTTGAGGATGGGCTAATTCCGAGAGAAAACGCCGTCAGACTCCACCTTGCATTTCAATTCTCAGGCCCATGTGGAGTTCCTAGGGCTGTGCCCATTTTTATTGATAGTAAATAAAGCCATCGGCATTTTTGCCCTAGCATTTCTGCAAAGTTCCTGATTAATATTGATGGCATCAGCACAGGCACAGCTGATCCATGAGCCAGTGCAATCCTCAGGACCAGAAAAAAGCTGAACTCAAAGGGCCAACTTGTGGTCCACACAGCACAGGGCTAGGGCTAAGCTCTGAGGACCAGAATGAGGGACAGTTAGATCCCAATGACAGAAGGAATGTCAAACAAAGATGGCAAGCAAGTGTGGAGAATAGCCATCTGTTCTGAAGGTGGAGGACTTGAATCTTGTTGAGGGGGAGAAGCAACACTATGAGCAGTGTCTGAAATGAAGACTGAGGTGGGTTTGGCAGGTGTGTGAGGAAAAGATGGCGGCCTCCACCTATGTCTGACAGTCTGCCTCTGCTCCTCAGGTCAGCCGCCTGACTTGGTTTACCCGTCACGAGCCCATAGTCCAGAAGGACCCAGTACCACCAGCAACCCCCCTGCCTCCTACTCTCTCTCAGAATGGGGCCGCAGAAGCCACCAGCACCAGCATTCAATTGGAGATTGTTCAAGAAAACATGTCCAAAGCCCACAGCTGTGAGTTGCCTTGGGTCTCAGTTACTGTACAGCTTAAAAAGCATTATGCATTTGGGGTAAATTTTTCTACCAGATCTCACACCAGAGATCGGGATAGGCCTGGAGTTTCAGAATCCCCTAGCTTTGATGCCTGGGCCTTCCCTACCTATCAGAAGACTCTACATACCCAGTGCCTACCAAGAGTTGCATTTAAGACTCACAAAACCCCACACAATAGGCTGGAGCACTAGAACAATCTCTGAATTACATTTTTTTTGGCTTATTTCATTTAATAAAATGACTTAACACTTTAAAAATAGTTTATTTATTATTTTTATTTTATGTGTATGTGTGTATTGCCTGCATGTGTGTAAGTGCACCTGTGTCCTGCAGTGCTGGCAGAGGTCAGAAGAGGGAGTCGGATCCCCCTGAAACTGGAGTTACAGACGGTTGTTAGCCACCATGTGGGTGCTGGGAACTGAACCCGGGTCCTCTGCAAGAGCAGTCAGTGCTCTTAACTGTTGAGCCATCTCTCCAGCCCTGTGTTAATATTTTAAAATTGGAAGATTTCACACGAGATTCCAAATTTCCATCTTCTCTTGAACAAGGGGACCATTTGGCAACCCCAGACCCACATGTCTACATGACAAAAGATATCTCCCTTGATGCTAAGATTCAAGTTCTCATGTTGTTCTTTTCTAATTGTGAACACTAACCCATGTCAACTTAAGAAACCCTATGAACATTTTTTTTCTTCTAGTGCTATGGCTTGACCAATGCATGCTCTGCCATGGGCTACACACCCAGCCTATAAGGTGGGAAACTCTAGGTCACATGTTTAAAAAATAGGGTGTGGGGCTGGAGAGATGACTCCGTAGTTAAGAGCACTAGCTGGTCTTGTAGAGGATCCAGTTCAGTTCCCAGCACCCACATGGTGGCTAACAACTGTCCATAAGTCCAGTTCCAGGGGATCCAACACCCTCTTCTGCCCTCCATGGGCATTGCATGCATGGGAGCACTTACATATATGCAGGCAAAACATTTATACACATAAAAATCAAAGTAATTTTAAGAAATGGGGCGAGCATGCTCCTTGGTAGAGGTGGAGACTATGTCTTTGTGTTTAGAGTGAACATCTGCCTCTCCTGACTCGGGTATCATCTATCACCTGCCTGGACTCCGGCCAGCTGCTGGGTTTGCAGCCTCATCTCCAAATGGAGAAGCAGTATTCCACAAAAGTGCTCACTTTCCTTCAGCCTCCTGGAAGGCAGTGTGATACAGAGAACAGCTGTTCTAAACCCATCACGGCCACTGCTTACTAGCTATGTGGCTTTGCTCAAGTTAGTCTGAGCCTTGATTTCGTCATCTGAAGACAGTGAAATTTTGAAAATGTCAATTTTTTCCTCAGTGTCTGAGGGAGACTGGTTCCAGGACCTACAAAGGTACCAAAATCTGTGGATGCTCACGTTCCCTGTATAAAATGGCTTCGGGGATAGGTTGGTCAGTAAAGTGCTTGCCTTGCAAACACAAGCATCTGAATTCAATCCCCAGGACCTATGTAGAACAAAGCAGGGCATGGAAGCATGTGTTCATAATCCCAGTACTGGAGAGGTAGAAACAGGTGCTCACTGGAGCTCACTGGCCAGCTAGCCTAACCTACTTGGTGAGTTCCAGATCAGTGAGAGACTATCTCTAAAAAAAGTGGATGATGTCTGAGGAATGTAGGACAACCTGAGGTTGTCTGCCAGTCTCCTCATGCATATGCACACATGTGCAGTCATACACATGTTCATTTATATACAAGTATTATACCTACATACATGAACACACACACGCACACACGGCATAGTAATTGCATATAACCATGTACATCCTCCTGTATACTTAAACTCATCTCCACTTTACCAAGAATAGCTAAGACAATGTAAATACTATGTAAGTAGTTGTTGTATTATTTAAGGACTAATGATGAACATTTTCTGCGTTTTAACATAGAATACTTCTGATGCATGTTTGGTTTAATTTCCAAATATGGATCCCACAAATAAGGAAGGCTGACTGGACATTCTAGAAAAGGTGCATAGAGTATGTGTCTCATTTCACAAACACATGTGGTCAGTGTCCTCTTCCTCCTCTTTCTTGGGGGAGAGGCAGCCTCCCTATGACCCTTCTTTGCTGGGTTTTCTAGGTGATACTTTCTCAAAGCGGTCCAAGGTCTTGAAGGCCATCTCATGGCTCTGTGGAATGGAGAAGGGCGAAGGGGAACACCTGAGCAAAGTGGAACCTGTCATGGCGTCCCTGAAGGAAAATCCCATGGTGAAAACCCTGCTGGATGTCAACTGCATCATCTGCATCAGCTGCGCCATCTTCCTCTGGGGCTACTTTGCTTAACACGGGGTGAGCCCAGGGGACCAAGCTCTTTATGTGTTTCCAGTGCCTTGTTATTTTTTAATGAAAGAAAACAAAATAATAAAGCTTTTGTTTATTTACCATGATGCTTCAAAGGTGTTGAGGGGCCATTCTACATTCTCTTCTTGAAAGGGATATCTGGCCCCAAAGGTTTTCTCACTGTGGTACTTGCTCTGGATATGATTTCTTGGAAATAGACCTGTGTGCAGTGCCCTGAAATCTCATGCAATAAGAAACAGGGGCTGTGTGAAGGCATATGCTTATAATCCCCATAATCCCAGCACTTCCTGAGGTAGGAGCATTGCAAGTTTGAGGTCAGCCTGGCCTACATAGCAAGACACTGTCTTGAAAGAGAAAAAAGTAAAGCTGGGTGTGGTGGCACATACCTAATCCCAGCACTTGGGAGCTGGAGGCAGGATGCCCGGAGTTCAAAATACAAAAGAAAAGGAAAAACCCAACTGGGGATTATGCACATTTCTCAAGTTCTGGTTTAGGAGCTGGAGAGATGGCTCAGCAGTTTCCCAGCACTTGGGAGCTGGAGGCAGGATGCCCGGAGTTCAAAATACAAAAGTAAAGGAAAAACCCAACTGGGGATTATGCACATTTCTCAAGTTCTGGCTTAGGAGCTGGAGAGATGGCTCAGCAGTTAGGAGTTTGCTGCTCTTGTAGAGGACAGGAGTACAGTTCCCAGCACATACGTCCAGTGACTCACAACCACTTCAGCTCTAGGGGATCCAATGCTCTCTTCTGGCCTCTGCAGGTTCTCATACACAGGTATGCAAACATATACAGACGCATATACATAAAACTAAAATTAATCTTTAAACAAATCTCTGGCTTTGTAGATTCTGCTTCTTTAATTCCTCATGAGGAGCTTTCCTCCAAACAAGCAGCCAGAAGGACTGATCTGCACAAAGCCTCAGTATTTATTGGTTGGGGGCCAGTGCTGCTCAGGACCTAGAGAGCAATTGCCTTGTTCTGTGTGGAGCCAATCCTTGTCTCTCAGCTTCTCTTCTGCACCCTGGTGGGGACTAAGGGAATGACTCATAGACATAGAGCTGTGTTTGCCATATCTACAGCCATCTCTGGGATATCCCAGGAAACAAGGTGGCCAGTCCTGAGGAATGGAGCTACTTACTGGTCCTGCCCCACAGAGCTTTAAAGTGGAATAGTCTCTCATGAGACCCCAATTTTTAGGAAATTTACAAAAGAAAATAGAAGTCACTCACCCACCTACTCATTCAGTGATCTGAGTTCCTAGGTGATGCCCACAGTGTCTGGGATCCATTGATTCAATGAGAGCTCTGAGGGTTGCCCTTGCCCTCCAAGGTCAACTAAGTTCCAGGGGACTATGGAACATCTCTCAAAATGTCCTGTAACTGTGGTGAGTCACCTGTCTGCTTGTTCAGGGAGGCCGAGGAGACCCCACAAGATGGACATGAACCAGTGTCCAGTCTACAAAAAGGAGGTCAACACAGAGGAATCATTTCCTCCATGCTTCCAAGCAAAGCCAGCCATGGTCGAGTAGGATCTTTC